CTTGAAGTTTTCTATCACAAGATCTACAAGGTCTCATTTTTTCATGTTTTTTTTTATGCTCATGTCAGAAACTTATTACATCTTTATTTGATTTCACCTGGATGCATAGGTGACGGATTGTCTAATGTTCTGGTTCTTTCATAAACCTCTAATGCCATCAAGTTTTCTTATTTGTTTAAAACTTGACATTGCTTGTTGAAAAGACTGTTTCACTGTTTAGTTTCTTGAATTGCATACCTATTTATGTGTTACATCCTTTTCTTGCTCTTCCTGGTTTGGTAATTTGGGGTTCCTTTATCATCTTTTCTCCCTTCCCTTTGATTACAAATTTATGCATGTTTCTACTCATTTTTGCAGATTTTCCCACCTAGTGAGAAGATTGAGAATATAAATGACCAGTACTGGACATTACGGGCAGAAGAGGTCAGTTCCTAACCCCCCCTTCTGTTCCTGTAACACATGCATGCTCTAGTACATCCTGCTGTGATCTAGTGAATCAGTTTTTTTTTCTTTTATTTTGCCAGTTTTGATTTTATGAATGTAATTTCTGAGATAATGGCCTTCTTTAAGATATGGAGGGTTGGTTTTGATTGTTGTTCTTTGATCTTACAGATTCCAGAAGAAGAGAAAAATCTTGGTCCAAATGACCGCCTTATTCATGTTTACCACTTCACCAAAGAAACAGCTCAGAACCAGATGGTAATAATTTTGACATTATTACACGTCTTTTATTTTCAGTTGTCATTTTGCTATCCTTATGATTGCTTCTTTATCACTTATGTTTCCTTGCCAATTTAACTCTTTTCTTGACAGCAAATTCTGAATTTTGGAGAACCCTTTTTCTTGGTGATTCATGAAGGTGAAACCTTGGCTGAAATAAAAATCCGAATACAGAAGAAGCTGCAGGTTCCAGATGAGGATTTTGCTAAGGTTTGTTGTACTTCCTGAATGTTATGTGAGCTTGTGCTCACTGATTTCCCTAATCCTTATCTTGTTCAACTGCTTTTCTCTTCTCCTTTGGCCGGGTAAATGAAATATGGATTCATGCATAGTAGGAACTCTGACTGTGATGTACCCATTGTTAATATACATATTTTTAAATTAATCATTTTCCATTGTATTCATTTTTCTGTCTCCTCTCTTTTTTATTTATTTTTTATTATATTAAACCTTCTTTTCAGTGGAAGTTTGCATTCCTCTCACTTGGTCGGCCGGAGTACCTTCAAGATTCTGATATTGTATCTAGTCGTTTTCAGGTGCACATGCTGTTTTACATAAGGATATTTGAAAATTTTGTCCAAGTTTCATTAGGATTTTACCGTAATTTTGCTTAACTGTACATATATTCAGAGGCGAGATGTTTATGGTGCTTGGGAGCAGTATCTTGGGCTGGAACACTCTGACAATGTTCCAAAAAGATCTTATGCTGCTAATCAGGTAATGATCCTTTATTAAAAGTATTCCCAAGTTTCATCACAAATTGAGTTAATAAGACTCCTATCCTAAGGCTTAAGATATTCTTTAAGACTGATTAATCCATTTGCTTTTCTGGACTCCATAAAAATGGCTAGCCTTTGAAATGCCAATAATAGTTGACTCTACTTTAATGACATCGCCCTTCTTTGCAGAACCGGCACACCTTTGAGAAGCCTGTTAAAATCTACAATTAGGGACTGTTTTATATTTTACCTCCTTTTGATGACGTTGCACAAAAAGAGTTGCACTCTACATGAACTAAAAAGCAAATGACAATGCGAGGCAACAAGAAGTTAGCACTGAAATGGCATTTGTTGATATTTTCTTGATTTATTGGATAATGTAATTCTTTCAGTCGAAGGACAGTGTGCATCTGCAAATGTCGATTACGATCCACTGAGGTTTTTGCTACTACTTTAAATATAGGTTGGTCGGTTGGTTCTATCTCAACCGAAACGTAAATGGGGGCAAGTTGCCAGTGTAATTTGTCAGTACATAAACAAGATTTTGGATTATTAGTGAATTTATGTATACACAGTATAGTTTGGGAGAAGGTTGTGATTTGGTATTCCCTTTGGTTGATTGCCCTTTGGTATTCCCATTTAGCATTAGCTGCTGCCCTTTGTAATGGTTGATTGCCATTCTTTTTCAAGCCCTAATATTTTGTTGTGGCTTTTTTATTATGGGACTTTGTCAAACCCCAAATCTTTTTACCACAAAGGGACTCGAACTGATTTGATCCCTTAATAAAATGCATATTCTTCCTACATGAACAAACACAAATATATATATTATTTATAGTGTATGTGTGAGTTTAGGTATCATGAATCAAGTATTTAATACAAAATTAAATTAAGTATGAGGCACTTTTTAAGAAATGATTCAATTTCTTAATAAAAATAAATATTCCAATAGGAAAAGAAACCTACCTATCCAGCCTTGTCAAGCAATAGATGGCATGTCATTGGTGAGTGTAAAATAAAAGCAATCTTAAAAGGTGAAAGATGATGCCTCTCCACCTTTTCTTCCCTCCAAGCATGATCCCAATTGCCTCTTCATGCCATCGTCCATAATTAAAGTTCACATCGGAATCGTCTTTGAATTTTATACATATAAGTTCACATCGGAAGATGAGAGAGATTATGTTTGTGACTTGTATTAGTATGATGGACCACATGACATCTCTCTTTCCTTTTGGGTGCAGGATGTGACTTGACTCTTCCATTCATAATTGTATTAACATGGACTCGGTCTCCTCATGTTTTTGTGGTTCTCATTTTACTATCATTTGGGGTTTTTCATCACATGATTTTAGTTATATCAGTGGTCCTTTATGCCTACAAACACTGGGTTAAAGAAGATCATGAAGCAAAACAAGATTCATCTCGAATTCCTGTATGGTATGATCCTTTAATATAGGTCCCATGGGTTTTATTTTATTTTATTTGCAGATATTGAGATCTGAACATAAATTTATTAGTTGTCTTTTTTACGAATAATGAAACTAAATACCATGTTTGGATTGTATATTTTATGACATTTGAAATGTGAACATTAAGATTATCCCAACAAAATATCAATGATAAATGGACTGTCGGTCGGTTAATATTAATAATTGTTTTTTTCAATATAAGAGGGCTAAAAGCGATTACAAATTAAGAATCCACGACATGATATCAAATAATGAGAGAGATGATTATTGTTGAAAGATAATAATAAAATTTTATATACGATGACAAATATAAAAGAGAAGGCTGCCGATGCCTACGATATTGTGGGTGGCCATCAAGATTAGATGTGTGAATGCAGTGATCGATTACGAAATTAGGAATGAAATTAGGATCAAATATTAGGAGAATAAAGAACTATTAAGTATCTAAATCTAAAAATATTAGTGGATAAAAACTTTATTTGATTAATATCTAACTCAATACAGACACAAAATATTATTCTACCAAAAAAAATTTAGGTTCATTTAATAAATAACTCGTCTCATCTCTGTTCGAGATGAATCATTATAGCGTTGGAGAAGCCATTGCCTAAGGTCTTTCTCATGAATATGAGAAAAAAACAAATACTAAACCAAGATCAACAATGCCAGTGCAGCTTTCTCTTCAGGGATCTCAGAATGGGAGGAGTTGTCTGCATGGTTGTAAGAGGGGGTATGCACTATGCATGGACCCCAATTTTTATTTCTTTAAATTTAGTATTTTTTATATTAAAAAATTTAAATTACAAAAATATAATTTAATTTAATCCCAACCACCAAAAACATTAAAATTTGGTTTTATCTCAATGGTGAGGGGACGAGGGTGGGCACACTGTATTTTATCATATAAAGGCATGAAGCGGGAAATCTCAAAGTATCTTCTCAGAGCATTGATGTTGGAAAGGAGATAGAAAAAAAGGTTATGTCACTGATGACTGACTGACTCATCTACTCGCATTGATAAGTCTATAAACATATATAGCTTTATCTTAGCTGTGATATGACAGTCCAGTTTAGTATTACATATTTTTCAAAAAAAGAATTTTAAAATATCCACCATTTATATTTATATACATCCAAAATACCACCTTCATGATTTGACATTACAGATTCTCTACTGTTTGTTTCTTTCCCAACAGACGAACCCCACCTTCATTTACAGCCCCCATTATCACTTCTCTGGTAAAATATAGCCCTTCTCTTTTGCTTTTGCTCCGCTGGGTACTGCACCATGCAAAAAGGACCCCCATTTTCTGCCTTTTTTCTTTCTTTCGAGGGTATCAACAATGGACAACGGTCGTGCTTCGTTCAACTTCATTTTTTTTCATTGGTTGATGCCAGGGTTTCCATGACCTCAGCTTGACAGAAGCATATCTAAGCGTTTTCCTTTTACTACATTTGCTCTGGGCTTAATCCTCTTTTTATTAAATGAACATATATATATATATATATTAGTTATAAGTTAGGGTTATACATGAAAGTGAGAAGACACAAAATCATTAAGGGCTAATTTAAGCATTGATTAAGTTTGATTCACTTAAACCTAACGAGACAGTGATTGATGTTAACCAATCCTATAGTGGCCCTATTAGCTTTGTTGACAACACATCTAAGGTTTTTATTACCATTGCTCTTGCTTCCTTAGTCTTCAATTTGATTATGAAATATATCCAATTGGAAGCTTGCCATAAGGAGAGAGAGAGGGTGACAAAAATGAAGTAAAAGGAGAGATTTCATTCAAAGGCCGTTGGGGTATTTTAGGGAAAGGAGGTAAGCACGGTGAAGGAAGAGCATAGGGTCATTAGTCCCTTGAATATTTGTAGGGTTCTGTTGGCCAAACCCCAAAGCACTGTAAAACTTGTTTTTGTGCATTCCAAGGTGGTGCTTTTACTGTCCTCAATGTATGTATTGTGATAAACACTGCTGCATGATTTCAGTGCCATCAAATTCGGTGAACAAATGCTTTTTAACGATTTGATTTAAGCTCTGAACATGACAGGTTAATACATGCGAAATAACTCTGCATTGTTGGCTAGATACAGTAGAAGGTGGCCATTATTCCATGGGATTGTTTATTTGAAAATATGATCAACATATATAAATGCAATCACTAGAGTAGAAAGAAACTACATCTAATGGATAAAATGTGGAAAACCAACACACATTTAGTAATAAACATATGATGATGATGATGATGAGTGGCTTCTACTCAGAGGGATGCCATTGCGTTTCAGTGGTACCCATTAGACTTTTGAGGAACCTGATCTGCAAATCCCTGGTCAGCTTTTGATTGCTTGTTTCCATCTGGCATTAGCCCAAAGTGAATCTGAGGAAAATGTGCCCACTGCAAAAACACTAGTGCTCTTAATTACTGCAACTATATGGTTTATTAAATTTTCTTTCAAACTCAACCAACAACTAATTAGTTTAGTAAAATAAATCACAAGATCCCATAAGTAAGATTATAGTTCGAATCTTGACATTATTAATAGAAAATTTTGGGTTTGAATCTTGACATTATTAATAAATAAAAAAATTGAGTTCATATAGATTTTATGCACTATAATTGAATTGGAAGAATATATTATTATAGTATAATTTTAAATGAAATTTATTTAAAATAATGTCATAATCTTATTAAATATCAGCACATAAAATTATATACCATCTATATATGAAATACAAAGTCTAATAATAGTATGAACTACTATAACAAACTAACTAGAACTAGAAATATCTACTGTAAAAGAATTATTAATGGCATATAAAAGCAGTAGTGCCTATATATCTACTGCTAAAATGTTAAAAAAAAAACTTACATTTTTTGCTGCTGTGCTGAAAGCTTCCCTGTGGCTGATGTCTGGATTAGTAGACTTGATCCTTTGGATTTCCTCTCTATTAAAAGAAATAACCCAGAAAAAGGAAACTAAATGAGAGAGAGAGTTTATGATCAAATTACCATTAAAATTTGGGTTAAACTTACTTAATGAACCTGTTATATGCAGAAGGAACACGTTGTCTCTTCCCAGGTGCTGCATTTTTATATCATACAGTTTAATCAAACGTTGTAGGCACTAGGCAGTTGACTTTGTTTTGTCCAGTGAAATTGAATGATTATATATTATATGAAATTGAGAAAGAGAGAGACTAACGGCGAATAGGGAGCATCCTAGTTGCTTCATGGCCTGCAGAAAACTTGTTGCATTTGGAAGGCGACCCACATTCCTTATTATCCAAGAAATATTAGCTTTGAAACAACAATGATTTTGTTTCATAATATTGTATCTTATAGGCTAAAAAGGTTAGGAACCTATAAAATAATGGCACAATAACAAAAAAAATATTTTTAACGTTTGATTAAATAATCATTTTAATCACTAATTTTTTTAGAACATTTAGACCCAACGTCTCATTTTGGGATAAAAAGACTTGAAAAACATTAGTTAACAAACGGTAACACTCCAAAATAGGGATATTTTTACCATAAAATAAAATGTTAAAGGTTTTTTTCCCCTTAAAATTAAATGTTGATAGCCAATATGCTCTAAAAAAAGAATAAGAGATAAAGTGATTTTTTAATCAAACATGTTTTTTTTTCCTAAAATAAAATGTTAATGATAAAAAATAATTATATATATATATATCATCCCTTGCCGCCAAAAGAACCTGAAAATACCTGAGCATCTTGGATGGGAACTGTTTGAGGAGAGTTTCCCATATTTACAGACAGCAGATTAGCACAATGCCCACATCTAACAGTCACCAGATTGAACATGCTGTTGCTTGGAACACTAACCTGCATAAAAGGTTACCATTTCTGAAATGTTAATGGTTACTGCAAAGAATCCATTGAATGATTTTAGTGGTAAACGACAATGTTGTTATTCTTAGAGTACTTGATTTCGAGCAACTGTGTTTACAAGGTATGAATTATATCATATAATAAGAAAAATTCTGAACATATATTATATTATAATCACTCATACTATTAAAATAAGAATGGCTACTACATAGAACTGGTAAAATGCAACAATGTCTGAAGCTTTTGAGCTTTCTCAGCTAATCAAGCCAATCCTATTTTTCTCTTTTGGTCATACAAATTAAGAGTTGAATCTGCTAAAACAAATGCAAACCCTAAGTGAAAAATCAAAGTCCCAAGCCTCATATCTGTTTAGATCCCATACATTTTCCGTACAAAGTCCCTAGATCTTCCATATGCACACAAAATGCCAAACACAGAAGTTTCATAATGTAGAAGCATAAGAGAAAACATGCATTAATGAAGTAATATATGTACAAGCCTCGAGTGGGAGAAAGAGAGAGAGAGAGATGAAAAGAACGTGACCGGAACGGAAACCATAAAGGCCAGGCCAAAAGCTATCAAAGAATGTCATTGAATAAAGAAAAAAGAGAGAATTCATGAATGGTGATTGATTTACGGATTACTTAATTTGTGCAGAGCTTAGGATCTTGCATTTTAAATGCGTTTTCTTGTTGGTTTTCAAAAGGGGTTTGCTTAACATTCCTGGGAAAATAGTTTATGGCTACCCCATGATTTCTCTCTTAGAACCCTAAGCCAAGCCTACCTGTTTAGTTCTCTTGGAAAAGCATTTTTTTTTATCACCACAACAAGTCTTTGGGTGTTTTTGTATCACTTTCAACAGCTGAATTAAAATCATTTGGCCAAGCTTTTCATTTTCTTGTTCATGCAAGATCAATCTTTGAAAGGGTATTCCCAGTAAAAGAAAATTTCCTTTGGCCTTCTATGATGCTTTCACTGTGCACCGCTTCAGCTTGTTTTAGATGGGAATTCTGGATCATGTGCTGGACACTTTGAGACAAAACTAGACTAAAATTTCTCATAAAATATGAGTTCAAGTTAAATCAAGCAAAATCTCACGATCCTTCAACCGTGAACCATGATAGTTAAAGTGGATTTTTCTCTTTTTACAGAAAAAGGGCATTTTCCAAGTTAAATCAAAGAAAAATCTCCCGCTTTGTTCTTCATGAAAACAACCAAAAATAATTTCAGCTAACAAAAGGGTAAACACTGAAACAAGTCAGGCATGCTAAATTCAATTCCTTTTAACAAAAAAAGAAGAAAAAAATGCATAAACAGATACAGAAATATATAGTAATGGAATTCAGTGCTGTACCGCTAAAATGGTGTTGCAGAAGTTGCAGTGAACATACCAAACACGTTCAGATGTCAAGACCATTGACATTTTTCTTTCTTTCTTTCGGTTTCTTAAGTACTTTTCTCCCTAACTATATAATATTCCCCAAGAACAAAGGAAGAAAAAGAAGAATAAAAATGGATCAAGGTTGAAGAATTGATGAACAGAAGAGAGAGAAGATAGTACGATGACAAGGAACAATAAAATAAATGGGTTTTGATCGTATTTTATATGAATTTAACTATAAGAGACAGAGATTTTGAGAAGTGTACAAAAAGATTATGATATGACAAGTCTAGTCTAATCGGGACAGAGAGAGGGAGAGAGAGACGGAAAGTAATGAAGTAAATATGGGTAGCAAGGGGAGGCAAAGGACGGAAACAAATGGAAGTGAAGGCGACGATATTAGTGCTTTCCAATGTTTTATACAAATCGAGCAAACAATAAACATCATACTTACTCAAATTTAATTTTTTTTAAATAATATTTTCTTTTATCATCGAGATCATTTGATCGATTTAATCTTAATATATAGTAGTAGATCTAAAAATATTTTTCAGAATAGACACATATGTATTGATAATATATATTTTTGTATAAGGGAAGACATCAATAAAATTCCAAAGAAAACACAATTGATAAAATGAACAACAAACATAGAGAAATTCAAATTTAGGTTAGACACGTGTTCACTCTGAAATATACATGCACCCGCACCGTTGATATATCTTTATTATAGAAAACATGATTTGTATGTATTTTTAAGGTTTAATTATGAATTTCTTCGGGTTACTTTATAAAAATTAAAAGAATAAATATTTTTATTTTTATTTTTATTTATTACAATTTGATTTTATTGATGGGAGAAGTAGAGTTGTGGGGATGTTTGACAGTTAACCCCTTTTGATTTGTATAGAGATACATAAATGGTCGTTTTATAAAAGATGTAGAGATTAAATGATATGAAAAAGATCATGAATAGTAAGAAAGGCTGAGAGAGAGAAAAGGAGATTATGTTCCGTTTGCATGGTGGTTTAATATGTCCTTAGTATTATGTCAGGCCTAGGGTGATAATAACTATTTTTAGGTCGACATGGGTGAGTAGACTTGGATGTCATATAGTGGATTTGATTGGTAATGAGATTTACATCGATCGTATTAAGTGATTGTAGCCATTTGAAGGATATAAAACTCCAGAGACCTCGATAGGTGAAGAATTGATAACGAATGTATAGTTTTCCGGAAGAGGTACAACATTTATACTCCCTTGATTGAGGGAATGTCATAAAGTGACTTGAATCAAGATTCGTGAAAGAAGACATTTATTCTCGAAAATTAATGTAATAACTGATTTCAAGCGACTGATGATAGTATGTTTTAAATAAAGTTGGAATATGCTCTTTTTCGAGCCCTGACGCTGGGGCTGCTTTGAGGGAAAATCATGTCTTTAATCTATAAATAACTATGGATGATCTGATTCCAAATCTGAAAAAAAATTACGGATATTCCAATTTCTAATTCAAAGATAACTCCATGCTAGAGATGTAGCGAAGGATCTTGACATTCTTTTATAAATTTATCCAAGTCCATACCATCGATTGTTATCAAAATATCTATGAAAATAAAGAAGGTAATTTTTAAAGTAGACAACTATGAACTGAAGCAGAATTGTTTTAAAGTCTATATATATACAAAGATTAATGAGACAATGAAAGAATTGAAACAGAGGAATGTAATGCTAAATATGTAGCGAAGGATCTCGACGCCGTAAAAAAAAAAGTAATAGAGCAAGCGACAGCATCTAAACTCTAACACTCTCAAATCCGACCTTTATACACCATTGAATTTGCGAATGTCCAGGCATTGCGCTTACTACTGCTACACCCTTCTATTCATATGTGTCACGCTTGTCGGTCCGCCAATGCGGCTGCTCACTCCCACTGTTCTACATCTTTATATTTTGATTTACGATGCTATTTCTGATTAACATATTATAATATTTCATTCCCCAAAAAAATATGAGTGACAATAAGGTATTATATATTGATACAAACAAAGGAATATAGTATTGATACAAATTTAATATTTGTCAAATATAAGTTATATATAGATAATATATCCAGTAATAGATATTATGGTGCTCCATCATTTGCAAATTTGAAGTTGAAGACAATCATTCAAGAATTCCGACTTTCGCTTTAATGACAGCTTATACCAAGACCAGATAGCCAGCAATCGGAGCTCCACCTAACACTATGTGTCTATGTCTATCCTTCACAAAAAACAAAAGGGTTGTTTTGTGTTCTTTATTACTTGGGAAATAGAACTCATCAAGTTATTTTAGCGTAAAACAGAATATTCTTTTCTTAGAAATCTTGCATTCGAACAGATGTATCTGTAAATGTGTATGTATTATCAATTACGTAAGAAAATTTAAACCGATAATACCTTATAATCATCTCAAACTATTAAAAAAAATAGTCGGGAAAATAACCCGTTTGGTCTTTTGGGCACCCAAGTTTCAATAAAGGATTAAACTTCAGCTCAAAAGTGATCATTTTGTCTCGTTTTTCTCAAATTTTGTAGCGATGACGCCAATTGGAGTTCTTGGGATGGTGAAAAGTGGAATGCTTTTGCTCGTGCTTTGTGCAATAGCTAAGTTTTCAACTAATTTCTAATGGGTATTTTTGTTGCAGAATCGGCATATGTTGACATTCTTGCGTACTGGTGGAAATTTCTATGAACAATGTGAAGTTTCATCAGCCAGGGAAAATTTTTAACTTTCCAGTTATAGTTCTTTCATCGGCATATGTTCTAACCCTTTGATATGTAATAGTTGGATATATGTTATATGCGGACTTAAATACTGGTTGATATATGTTATATGTTAAAGTTCCGGACAACGTCCGTACAAACAAAGACGGCGACTTTTGGGTTGTAATTCACTGTCGAAGATCCATGTACTCTCATATACTAGGATTATACCCAAAACTAAGGAAGTTCATTCTAAAGCTCCTTATCTCAACAAAGGTTCATTACCTGCATCAGATCAGGTGTAAGCTGCATGCACAAGCCGTCAAATACGGCTAGGATGGAAAGCTTTTACAGGTTCTAGAGGATAGGGAAGGAACAGTCGTGAAAACGATTAGTGAAGCCAACGAAAGAGACGGAAAACTTTGGCTAGGGGGAGTGTTCTCATGCCCTTTATTGCAGTTTATGATCTGGATTGATTTTGGCAAGTCTTTTAGGCTTTCAAAACAGTAGCTTTGGGGTTCTGAATGTTGCTTCTTCTTACATTGAAACAAAAGAAAACCAACAAGGTATTTAGGACAAAGTATTAAGAAGAAACAACAAAATCACAAAAGAATTACAACTTTTGTTAGTAAATTACAGAGTCAGATATTTAGAAGTGCATGCTTAGTTGATACATGATGAGGCAAAAAAAGAAAAGAAAAAGTGATTGGATGAATGAATTAAAAGGCAGTGGTAATTGGCAAATTAGCCCTTACAGATGCAAAAATATATGCTAAACATTGAAAGTAGAACCAGAAGCTCATATACGTCTTGAATATCCAGAACCTCCACATTTCTTGCAAAGTATCAATCCTGTAATGATACCAGCGATTGCGTTAAGGCCGAAGAGGCTCAATCCAACAGCTTAAGGTTTCATAAGTCATCAATTTACAAACATTACTCCAACACTGAATTGCAAGAGCACAAAGGATGCCATAGGCAGAGGATAAAAGTATTGCAATGCAATGCTGGAATTCGAGTGTCAGATCTCCTAGGATGCAACGCATTTTAATGATGGCTACAAGAATTGTGGATGGTCTGAGTAGGGAGATGGTGGTCTAACACGGTTCACTATTTCTAGATCGGATCGAGAGCTGTGGCTGATGGTCTGGAGAAAGGATGGGTATGCCTACTCAGACCATCAACAAGAACCAATTCTGCTAAGCCTGAGCTATGCCATTTTAAGAAATCTTACCTGCACCTTTACACACCCTACAATCGATCATCTTACCATCTTTACAAAAGACACATTTTGTACCTCCTACATCCATCATCCAAAAAAAGAAAAAAGAAAACTATTATCAACTTGTTGCATTTCCTGAAAAAATCACATGTTCTTTTACATAAAAAAGGATTCTATGGGGATAGGAACTTGATTTAACCAAGCAAGCACGGCAAAGGGTGCCAAATTTTGGTTAAAATAACAATATAACAAGAAGGAATTTAAAGTGCGATTTCAGTTGCATTTAACGCTATTGTGGACATAATAGTCCTTGCAGATATTACGGTCCTGCAATAACAATTTCAGACGATACCACTACTAACTATCACTATTCCAATAATTCACAGCTATTTAAACCCATGATAACAAGGGTACAGCCATAAAGAAACAAGCTATAGTTTCCTCTAAACATTTGATTAAAAACAAGAGGGAGAAGAAAAAGAATTACCATTTCCAGCACAGCGATCACATGGAACAGGATCACCCTGTAAAACCCACCACAAAAAGGGGGAAACAAAATTTAGTCCATCAATTAATGCATTAAAAAAGGATGAAGGGTATATGAAAAGAGGGAAATACCTTGAGGCCAAGAAAGAGGGAGAATGGCAGCCAAAACACTGATGGTGGCAAGGAAGTTTGGGTGTCTAAGGGCTTATCAAAGCCGTGAGCAACAAAACAGGGTGGAGAAAGAGCCTTGCGGGTTGATACAAAAGCTTCCTACGTTTAGAATTTTTGGTACGGGAGTGTTGGGAGGTTCGTGCTTTTAGGGACAGCTGAGGGAGGAAATGGTCGAAGAAGAAGAAGAAGAAAAGGGAGAGGATAGGATTGAGGGATGGAAAACAGAGGGAGGCCATGGATAGCAAATACATTGATTTTGTTCGATACTTGGATTCTTTCATTGCCCTTTTTATGGCAAGACAGATTTGCCCTTTTTCTGTATTGCTGAATCCAAATTATATGAGTATAAACTACATAGATAGTCCTTCTATTATAAATACTTCTCTATATAATTATAATAAAAAATTGAGGCTAAATTATATATTTGACCACTTAATTATTTATTTCTCATTTTTACTTTAACCATCAATCTTTTGATTTTATCAATTATCACTTAACTATTTAAATAAGATCAATCAAGCCACTTGCTCTTAATACTTGAGGAAAATGTTGATAAAATAGTTAATAAAATTGATATGATTACATATATAGTCCTTTAATACTCATATATTTATTAATTTAATCCTAATTTTAATTTATTTAATTAAATAATTTTTTATCCAATTAATTAATGATGAATGACCGATTTATTATAAATC